ATATATTTATTTATTTTATTTATTTATTATTTTTTTTGCAAATACACGAACATTTGTTTAAAAAATTACTCGCGAACACACATCAACACACATCAGCATGTGTGTGTGTGTGTGTGTGTGTGTTTCCTCAACCTGTGATTTTTACAGACACTGTGCAGCACAGCCTTTAAGCCTGTTTAGCTCCTAAAACCTCCAAGGTTGTGTCACGGTCAAATGACTACCAAACGTTGATTGACCTTCTGACATTCGGTCGAGCGCTTAACCGTTTAGCATTAGTAGCAGCAATTTGTGCTCATTCACATCAGGATAGTCCTCAAGCCTTCAGAAACAAACGGCATCACTTTGATCAGCTGAGCACAACAGCACATAATAGAAATATGCAGATAAATGTGCTTTCTTTTCTTTTCCTTTTCTTTCTTTTTTCTTTGTACCAAAGATGTCTCCTCTTGTTCCAAGCTGTGCCTTCTAAAAGGCATGTCCCAAACACTGGGCCTTAAAAAATTCTGCTTGGCTTTCCAGTTGAACTGTCTTGGCTAAAAGGAAATTAAGAGGTTGGGGAGTTCGGGATGTTTAGAAGCTGTGGTGGGGGTGGGGGGGGGGGGGGTGTTGAAAAGGGGGTTGTGAGTGTGGTTTTGTGTGTGTAGGGGGCACCCCTTTGATCTTTTTAGGGCAGCAAAGAAATAGAGGTCCTTAGTTTGAGCTGGCAAATGCATGTAGCTGATAATTGTTCAGATGAGACCGACAGTCTTGGAGATGCACGGACAAACAAAAGTTTACAGCTCTAATTGGAAAAGTCAACAGGTCTGGCATCAGGCGTGCACCTAAACAATGGAAGTGTCGAGCAGGAGCTTCACTTTGATCACTTGTTTGCACTTCAGGTTTCCAGCCCGGTCCAACTGGTGGCTTTTGTTAACACAGCCGAGTTGTTTCTTGGAAGTCATTTAGGAAATCTATCCATGTTTTCTGTTTGAAGTTGAACAACTGATTATCTTCTGAAACACCTTTAGTCTCTAATCAAGAAGTTAAAACGATTGAATCAATTCAAATTCAGTTCTTCATAAACTTAATCTTTTGCATTTTATTGTGTTTTTTCAGTTTTGTCGTTGTTTCCATTTCTGTATCATGGTATTGCAGTAATTTAAAGAAAAGAGTTGTTTAAGGTGATTTACCAACAGACACTTGCAAGTTCTGCCACTTGAAGAAGACATACAAAATGAATAAAATAATAAAACATATAATGTGGTACAAAGTATATGTGTGTGTGTAAATATATATATATATATATATATATATATATATATATATATATATATATATATATATATGTATATACACACAGTATATACAGCATATATACAGTATACAGTATGTATACGTCCCCCCATCTCTCTGATTTACTACAACCGTATGTCCCACCACTTTCCCTGAGGTCAGCGGACCAGTTGCTCCTCACAGTTCCAGGAACTCGTCTTAAGCGAAGAGGTGACAGAGCCTTCTCTATAGCAGGACCAAGACTTTGGAATGAGTTACCTCTGCTTGTCAGACAGGCCCCCTCCCTCTCGGTTTTCAAATCCCGTTTAAAAACTCACTAATTTTCAGTAGCTTTCAACACCAGAGGATCTGTGTTCTGAACCTGTACGCTCCACACTGGTTTGTCATCATATTTGTTATCTGTATCGTTTTTATGTCTATATTCTGACTTACTTCATTTTGTATATTGCTTTGTGTGTTACCTGTTGTTCTGTCTGTACAGCACTTTGGTTGGCCTTGTAGCTGTTTTAAGTGCTCTATAAATAAAATGGTATGGTATGTTTGTGTGTGTGTGTGTGTACATATGCGTAGTCATAAATGTATTTTTAAATGATAGCATATCATAAAGAGCATATAGTAAATAACCTTTAAAAGGCACACACAACTGACCACCAAGTCAATTGGAGGGTAAACAAAGGTTGCATTCACTCTGAACAGTCCTCGTCCTTCTGTGAACACAAGTGTCTGTGAGTTGAAAGTGCTTTTTGATGAGGCAGCTCTTGTGTCGGCTCAGGCTGGTTTAGGGATCCAGGGTCGTGTTCTCTGGTCACCACTGCCATTCTACAGCCTCCGCAGGGGGGGTCGAGGTGGGGGTTAAATTGCTCCCTACACAAATGAGGGTGGTAGCTCTGTTTGTTTATCCGGGGTGAAGTACGATGGTTGGGGCTCAATAAAATGGATGAAAGCTGTTGAACCCCCTGTTTTCCACATTGGAATTGCTTAACATTTGCACTGACGACACAGAAGGTGTGATTTTTCCCACAACTCAGTTCTTCTCTGAAGATGACGTTGATCCAACACACTATGGAGGCAGTTGAGCAGACTGTAATAGTTGCAGCAAAATATAGACACTAGTTCAGTTAATGTGTGCAACACCTTCTTCCCTTTGAGGAGATCTGGAATTGTCTGGTTTCAGATTTAACAGCTTTAATTCATAGATTAACCTGAAACGTCATGTGTGTGA